TCGACAATCGTTGTCTCAGAACCATAGCTCGTGTGGGTTGGTGTCAGCGAATCCGTAACGAGGCAGTTAGAAAGCGTGTTTTCGGTTGTGTAACGGGTACTTCCATTGAAGAATGTGTCCAGCACCAGAAGCTGCGTTGGTTGGGACAGGTTTTCCGCATGCCGAATCATCGTTTACCGAAAAGAGTACTATTTTCTATACCCAATTCGGAGTGGCGTAAACAGAGAGGTGGCCACCCATGACCTTNATTGGCTTCCGAAGGTGGTCCCAATCAACCAATCCACAGGAGCTTGTGCACACACCTTGGTTGGTTTGGGATGGAAAGGAAATCACTATATCATCAGTCAGGATACGACACCCAAAGCCATATCTTCCCCTTTCGGTTTAGAAGGAGCATCAATGCCACCTGAAGAAAGTAGATACAACTTATCCAATAGAGGCTGTACGCTATCAGGTTTTATGAGGGTATTTCAGTGGGATACCACACATCCCACATATGCAACTTTATTTGCTGTGGAGTGAACTTTGACCCGTCTTTCATCATTTCCAAATATACCAATGATTTAGATGATACGGCCACAGGAAGAGTGGATGATTCCAGTTACAGTCCATTCAACGTCAGGCCGTTACCATCACCAGAGCTTTCCTACGTCCCTCTTCTAGCCCATAAAAGTTACTCTATGCCTAGTTATTACTGTGCTGTTCTTTGGTCGAAGAACATTACCACAGGGAGAGGTTTTACAAAATTATTTGTCGCTTTTGCGCTCAAATAGAGGGTATGGTTTTGACTTGTTCAAGCAGGCCCGGGTCAGTTTTCGTCCAGTCATCTTGCCACAGGGGTTTTCTCTGCCAACTTCAACCTAATGCGAAGTGTCTACTGTTATTCTGAATACAATCCAAGTCGGGTAAGCCTATAAAACGGCTGGATGTTTGCCACTTATGTTGCTGACTTTTGATGCTATCGATCACCGAGGGATTTCGTATCAAACTTATCGTCCACTCCATTCCACAGCTCCCAGGATTGTACGGTGGAAAACGTGTGGTGAGTCGGTTAACGTTGACCAACGTATCCCGTGATGAAGATGGAACAATATTTGTATGCAAGGTCACTCACGTGGAGTGGCTGAAAAGTATCGGGCGTTTGTATCAACTGGTCGTGCTCTGTAAGTCCCACCACACTCCATCTAATATAACGCCAAATCTTCTTCCCTAGTAGAGCTTCATAAATCCACCACGACTTCTCACTAATATAGTGCAAATGTGCTGAAAACCACAAAACAGGCAGCAATGTGTTGAAATACTGGTAGTTTGGGTGAGTTTATTGATTATTGATCAAGTGACTGTTGATCTTTTCGCCGAGCTCGGCAACTGGCTTGCAAACGCTTCGTTACCACGCCCACTCAACTGCGCACTGATGATGTCTCCTGGTATGGCGACAAAATGTTTTCAAGCCTGTTGCCAAGTTCGGTGAACAGAACAACAGCCACCTGATCAAGATCCAACAGACAGACAGATTAGACCGGAACGTGGACAGAATACAACTCGATTCCTTCACAGAAGTGGAGGCCACATGTAGGGGAAAAATACACGACCAAGATAAGCCTGTTGAAGTTATCACAGGAGTACTTTCGTTATAATTTGTCGCAAAGTTTGCTCTGAGGCTTAGATAGATGAGGTTTGTTTTAGGTTGGAAAACGGTGCCCTGAAATGCCCATACTAGTCCCAAGTTTTCGGTTACCGTGGTCGTTTACCCATAAATTCAGGCACTGGTCTAAGCGTAGTCAGTCGAATCGCCCATGCATGGTTAAACACAGTTAAGTACGCACACGTCCGTGATCCTTGCGTGATTAAGCCAGCCACGTAGGTCCAGAAGTGTTCTAGTTCAACGTGTGTTGCTTTATAGCTCACTGAGCAACATGGAGGCAAGAAGATGCATCAAAACAGAATAGACTGGATTCAACAGTTTTGCATATCCCGCAGGGTGCATACATATAATCATAAGCAAAAGATTTAGCAGGGCTCCAGGTCAAAACCAAATTGGTAAGCAAATGAGTGCATTTCGCTAATCGGAATTACGTTTAGGACAGCTAATTTGACAAACAGACAGGCCATTAAAACACTACAAAGAGCAAAGGTCGTCAGACCCCGGAACGGGTCAACTTCATTTTGGAATCAGTGACAGAGAAACTCAGCTTATGTGAACAGCTGGGACATACGTGGGACTTTTATCCATCCTGATAATGACCTGTCTCAGGGCCTGATGACCTTTTCTTGTTGTAATGATTTCACCGGCCTGTGTGTTTGTTCGTCAAATTAGGTTCCTAACCGAAATTCGGGTTATATGACTGACGAGGTAACATACTACGCATGGTGTTGCTGAAAATTCGTCCATATCCCACGACCTGTTTCTTCGTGCTTGGGTCCAGATAGAATATAAGATTGAGGGAAACTCGGTGAGTGCGTTTAACTAATGAGCTCCACGAAGGGCGAGACTTTTCGTGGGTCGCCGAAGACTGTAACGTTTGCGCAATATATTGCGGTACTGGTGTATCCTCTCAGCTGAAGAAGAATATCAGATGTGAGCGATTCTGTCCGGTCTCCTGTGGAAAACAAATCGGTGTGTAAATGGGCGTGTCTCGCAAGCTGACGAGACAGCCCAGTTAGTTGAATCCAGTCTGTTCATTGCACAGCGATGCCTTCCATGGACTCAGTGGTTAGGAGTTTAGAAGTAAGAAGTGTCACTCTTGGGTTTAACTATCCCCCCAGGGAGCACCACTTCTTGCCTTCGGAATCTCAGATGGGTCAGTCAGGCTTTTGTGCTGGTGATTCTAAGCGTCTTACTGGCGCGCTCAAAATACAACACAGAATCCCCGAGTTAATCGGCTTTTACGGCAACAGCCTATTATTAAGCTGTAGATAGCTGGTTTATTAGTTTAGAATTATGAAATACGATGTTGAAAGCAAAAGAGATGTTGGCAATATGTTGACAATATATTCTGCTCCAAGATCACTGTCTATACTTTAACCCTAACCATATTCCAAAAATTGAGGGCTAAAATGCCCAGGGCTTTGTCAGGTTCCATCTGCGTCACTGTACTGGGCGGAGCTTCAGAGGATTTTTATAATCGGATGGATAAAACTCTTCTTCTGAATTGGGATTGTGGATTCCATCCTGATGCCGACGACCAACAGTTATCCCGCCCACATATAAGTGGACGCACCAGTGCCCTGTAACAGTATGATTTGGGCGACCAGCAGGAGGACACCCTTTTGTGACACCATTTCAAGTTGACCTTTGCGAATTCCCGGACAGGTAGAAAAAATCTTAGGGCCATTGGCCAATGTCAGTGGATCTTTCACCGAACCAGGCAATTGGCTTGCAAGCGTTTCGTAACTATTCGCTAGTGCGCGGCTATGTGAGCGATAAGACGAAACACACTTTCATCGGCCCTATCCCAATTATTGTTCGCTAGACTGATTTTCAAACAAAAAACGTATTTCCGCTATTCAGGTCAGCAGATTGATTTTGTCTGTCATCAATACCTCATTTGTAGTATTGTTTACTACGCTACACGGTCCTGTATCCATAGAATCATTGTAGGTAGAAGGAACTTACCGATGTGTTGCAATATTTTTCTACGCCCGTGAGTCGCGAGACTCAAAGAATGCACACTGTATATAAACGGGGGTTAGTAACTGAGTTTATCAGACAGAAAATGAAACTCACTTGAGCATCGCGTGGTCTCCGAAGGCATTGCTTCGCGCTTTTGGAGGTTAGTTCTTCGAGTAGTCCACATTCGGTAGAGCTGCGCCGTGCTGTAGCCTTGTCTTGAGACAGAATTCATTATGGATTATGTCGTTTTTCAGACGATCTCCTCTGAACCGCAGAAATAGGTACATATCTTTCTCAAAGTAGTAACCCGACTTATATCACTGAGGCGTTTACGACAGTTCTTAACAGTTAGCCTCTCCCAAGTACGCTTCTTGCTCTTCCAACCTATGCTCACTACTAATTAATTTTGAACTTTTAAAACACTGTTCTGACAACTCCTCGCTAGTGTCCTATTACTGCAAAGCTGTATGGCTACAGAGAGCTCCATGAGTTCTCTGCGTTCTTGCTGAAGAAACTGTCTTTATCCATCATGGAATGTAGAATTGGCAGTTCAAATTCATGAATGGTAATTTAGCGACAGGTTGACCAGATCATCAAAGTCTTCATCAAAATCAACTGGTTCATTAGAATGAATACAACATTTCCCGCTCACCACTCCATCGTGGATCAGCAGTATGATCCTAATTATGTAGCAGATCATATTATGGTCTCTCAGGCATCGCGCACTCAGTATTGCTTTCGCGCACCTCTAAGTGAGTTTTAGTGCAGCTTGGCTTCGTCTTCATTAGGGCTCTACGTCCAGCCTGCAGAATATGCAAAGCCAGTGAAGTCGGTCTAGATTTGTCAAAAAACTCTTGAGGTTAAGAAAATTTTCAGATCTCGGAGCCCCGTTAATTTTACATTACTGCTGCTTAGTAAACATAATCAGTACAATATTCTTATTCCGAGTGGCTTGGATAGCTAATTGGCCGGGCACTGCAAGGGATTTTCTTTGATTTACTCACTTGCTTGTTTTACACATCTGAGCTACAGTTACAGAAGTTATCGTGGTTGAGGAAGAAAAATCCAAAATTCCTGTGGATTTGATGATGTTTACGGCTAAGAAAATAAGAAACCGTGAAATGTTATTTTGCAAGCCCACAGAAGTATTTTTTTGAAATCTGTTGTTGAGACAGCTGAGCGAGGAGGGTATCCTTAGCTATGCTACTTTTACTCATGTTCTCTGAACTTCAGACCCACCAACGATGACGATCAATCTCGAGGCGCCTTCCCAGATTGAGTCCCAAATTCCATCACATATTTCATTGACATGCGTTGCGACTGGTGGTTGTCCGGCATTTCCAAACGTCTACGGTATTACGAATCGCTCCCTACTAGCTACGCACAATTTTGTCGATCATTCGGTTGCGTGGAAGTTTTCTTGGACGTTCCACGCCACGTTCCCTCATCCTTCAGATGCTCAAGGAAATGAGGTTTCTCGGAGCCTTTTGGAGAATCACATTCATCCGGTGTTGGCGATTCGGCATCCAAAGATAACCCATTTCGGAGAATATACGTGCCATTTGGAGGGACCTGGTGGTTCGACACACGTAACCAAGATGGTTCAGTTTGCATGTAAGTTGGCCACATGTCCACTGAAATCCTGACGTTTGAAGTTAGTCATAAACGGAAGTCAGAATGCTGAATGTTTTAAAATTTGATTGCTCAAGTAGAAAAGATCGTTGAGGGAAATTATTACTTTTTCAATGCAATAAGAACGGGAGAAATCATGCAATCAAACGAGTCTTTTTTCTGCGTTGTATATAGAACAAAGATACCCTAGAAACACAGAACCAGCTGTAAATCCGTCGTTCATTTTGGTGCGTTTGCCGAAGGAAAAACTAAGCTTTGATTGGGTTTCAGTTTTAGACCTCTGAGGCACGTATGATAGGTCAACACCTACAAAGATTGCCGACATCGATGTACGAAACTCTGAGCCGAACGTAGGTTTGACGATCCCGAATAGCAAAACAGAGAATCGGATTCGAAAGACCTACAGTACTATTTGCACACAGGGGAACAAAATTATACAACAAACCACGATTGTCCACTTTCTTGTGGTCAACAAATGCGCAATTCTGCCACCGACCGGCCCAGCGTATGGCCATAGTTCACGCGCCAGATATGGGTGTGTTGCGGTCGTCCATTCTGAGGCCAGTCTCGTGATTCTGATAAGCGGTGCGATCACACGAGTGCACGACATAACAAGTCAGAACAGGTCTAGCAGACAGGTGACGAACACCTATGGGTAAGTGGGTCATTGACACATACCAGACCAGTTTTAATGTAACCTTATTAGGACATAATGGACATGCACAATGGCAGTGCCATTTACGGAATGCATGGGAGCCTTTCTCACTAAGTATGCAGGGTGGCCAACAATGGTTGCGTTTAAGTACGAGTAAAATGATGCAGTTTTGTGTTTGTCGCTGAGCGATAATGTCGTCTTGATTGAAGAGGGAAATTTTACAAGGCAGTGGACAAGCTCAGTAAGCGGATCAGATTCTGTTGGTGCCAGAATAAGAGAGTTGAGAGGTATCACTATATGGGGGAATGGGTTTTATTCTACCAAAACTAACATGTTCCCGTTGGGCGGAACTCACCACAATTAAGGTTGAAAATTAGCCTTTAACATCTCGTCACCAATTTTTTCTGTCTCAGGGATCACCAGGGAGTCGTAGGCACCGAGTTTCAATCAGACATGTTCTAGTTGTTTGCCACATTGTACGCAAATAATAAATTACATCCGGTACGGTAGATTCAACGTGGCATCTTTTATGACGTTCTTCAAATAACTGTACTGCACGAATGCTGCCTCGTCACAGCTCATACAGCAGTGGAAATATCTTAGTGCTCTCGTGACAGAAAACACCAACTGATGAACCTCAGAATGACGAAAACGTCAGTGGGCTGTCAACACGTTTTAGTCAACATGGGTCTTGTGTGCTATCAGGAAACCGTATCGCCACATCTCCAATATCGTGCCAGTTTAAGGCTTGTTGAAAACAGTGTAATTTGCCAGTAAGCCTGTTTCGAAATTACATCCTTTTCTTCCCATGTCTGACCAGACAATTGAAGCAACAGGTGCCCGTAGGCCAGGTAACTTTAGGTAAATTGCAACAGTCGCTCTGCTCTAACTCAGAGAATTTGAACGGAACAGCTGAATGCACGCCTGCGATTTATCCAATCTACCGACTAAGAATTTTCCATCTGAGAGTCTCTCGATAGTCCATGTTGGTGCCTGCTACACGTATAAATAAGAATATTTCTCAGATCGACATGACTTTTGTACCAATTATCTCTGTTGTATAGGAAGGAGATACTCCTCAGGAAGTTACTCGTTTTCCTCCAAGGTGTTTACAATAGACTGTGGTCCTGATTTCTCTGTTTTGGCTATGTACCACTCCGAGTCTACTGACACTTAGACGAAAAATCTAGCAGGTTTTACAAGTAGAAGGAGTGTGCACGCCACCATGAGAAAAAATATATCGAACACTAGTTTCATACATTGCATGTCTACTGTACATATCAAGATGTGAAAAAAAGTTACTCATGCTTCCCGTAGTGAGCACGACCATGGACACCCGTGACAGACAGTTTCATTTGAAAAACCTTTATGTGTGTCCAGGTGTACAATGACCCTATTACCGAGACTCAGTTTGTTGTGAAGTGTTCAGCCTAGGCATGAGGTTGCAGGTGTAAATTTCCCTTGATATTAGTGAAGATGTACTGCCGAATTCGAACACACAAAAAAAACGTCATTGCTACTTTCAGTTTGCAGTTAGAGGTTACTGTGCAAACCTAAGACTATTTTTCCCAGTTCATCAGCCGATGGATCAAAAGAACCTAGTCATCGAACAACATATTCTGTGTACATTTTGGAATCTTAGCACTCCACGTTCATGCTGCTCCACGGCAATGACACCTCCGGGGGTTTTGAGCACTCTACCCGGTCAGCGCTAATCTACAAGCATGAACGGGTCTCCGAACAGCTCTCTAAATGCTACTGTGGATCTCACAAATAAATTTTGGACTAACCTAATGCGGTTGCGTGATAAATGTGAAATAGATTCCCTTAGTACAAATCACAGGATTGTACGCATTGTGAATCAGTGATAAACTAATGCATAGACTCAGCTGTATGGTTTTCGTTGCCCTGCTGTCTATCTTAACCTCAGGGTTTCACTCAGGTTGTCATTCAGCTCACATATACCACAGTCCACCAGTAAAGTGAGCATCGCATCACGTGATCCAAAAAACGGTTACCACTATACACGACTTTAAGAGTAACCTAGAATCTTTCTAGCACACGAAAAGAACCGAAGGTATACCAAAAAACTCATTCTTTGCACTGACAATCATATTGCTTTCCAAAGGGTTTTGCGTCAAACCATGGAGTTTCCTTGAGGAAACAAGTCATACAAGTGCCATTGCACGGTTTCAACTGAGCATTTCGTTAGGCGTATGTGGGAACAGTTTGATATCAATTGTATTCAGACTCACAATGGCCCACTATTTGAGTACCAAACAAGTAAATTCTAATATCATCAAAGTTTTTCATTACGAGTTGTTTGGTTAAATATTGCAAGCATAAATTGAATTATTTCGCCACAGCTTGAAGCTGATCCGACATTGCCAGACTAAACGTTATTGTCTGGAGAAGCATATCCAAAATTTTGGAAGGTCCGATGCTGCTGTTTTTAAGTACTTAGAGTACTGTTGACGTGATGAGTAAATTTCGAAATTGTAGTTAGACGTTCAGCCACCCTATGCTGCGAACCTTTAGCTGAACTCACTTCACTAACCTCACAACGGACGTCCTTCTGATCAGTAGATGAATAGTATGTCAGCGGGCCACGAGTAGATTATAAATTATGAATCAATACACATTAACAGCACCACCCATTCCCCGGTCACGCGCCTCATGTCACATGATTTGGTGTTGACTGCCTCATCGTGTAACAGCTTCCCGGCGTAAGTTATTCTGGACTCTTTCTCCGACCAGTTAATTTTTTAGTACGTCATTTCTCTCCGATCCCATAGTTGTTTCTTATGCTATAGGTTTCCACCTTACTTTATTCAGCGGGACACATTGTTTGTAATGTGCGGTTTGGCTCTACGACCAATGACATGTATTCTCGGTGTTATTTCCAGTCCCACCGGAAATAGTCCCACATGGTGCCACCGTGTTCACTGCAGCTGTGGGTTCACCCGTTGTGATGGAATTGTACGTGTGGACATTTCCGTATCCCACGAGTGGAATTGCGAAATACGAGCGGTACTTTACGCCCAACAAGCTTCCTTTTTGCCGTCAACCTGCTGGTCTACTGAGCATAGCCAATAAAGTGCGAGAGCAATCTACGAACCACAGTTTCGTTTGGTTCAAAGTGCCAAAATCGGAAGGCGTCACCAACTCATTTGTCACTTCTAGACAGATACTCTCCGTGATCTCCCGAGGTCCAGTAACAAATGCTCAAAAGTATGATGATCGTCTTTGGAGTGACGTTATCCTGGTTAATTTTGCTTCTAACTACTTGGGACGTGCCACCAGTCTGCAGCAAAATCAAAGTCTGAAGAAAATACCTACGTTGGTTTACCGACTGTTTCTCACCTCAGTAGCAACAACGGACTACGGGGATTATATGCTTGAGATTGAACACCCTAGCGGACGCAAAACGTTCCTTGCTCGCCTCCAACCACCGGGTGAGTCCTTTGTAGAAGGCAGATGTCATGTTACTGGTGTCATGGTTACTGGCTCAATCAACCAAGCTAGGCGCCCGAGCTGGTGAATTATTTTATTTCACGGGGTCCAGTTTTCGTGCAGACCTGGCAAATGCGTTGTAGTGTTATGACTCGATACTTGGAGTGCCAGCAAAAATGTTGCGCTTATTACATAAAAGGCTTATCGATCCATGTGTCGAGAAGTCCCGATTAATGACAGTGTCGAAAATACGTGTGTACTCTGATCATTTGGTAGACACTAGATGTGAGTAATTTCAGCGCAGCGAACAAACAGATAGGAGGAAGTTTATCAAAATCTCTCCGTGATACACACTACAGTTTTTTAGCTTCTGATAGTAAAAACACTTTCTTAGGCTTGCAAAGGAAACTACTTCTCCTTTAGTAGCAGGTTCAGTAATTCGCATAGTGATTAACATGTGTGTTTTGTTGACATTGAATTTGAACAATTGAATTTCCATACAAGGCTCACGCAAAAGAGTTTTCGAGCCTCACAAAGAAAACCAACTGAATTAATGAGGCATTATTGACTCGGATGCACGGTGGCCATATCCGGCGAGTTGTGTGAGTAAACATGAATGGTCTGGGCAACACTCGCGTCTTATTCAGAGTCAGGTAAACCTTGACCAGTTTTATTTAATATTTGTTTCATGGGACCTGTTTGAGTTGGTTGAATGGAGATAATTCATGGAAATACTCTTACGGAATGGTTTTCAATACCGATTTTCCGAGAGAAACACCCAATCCGGACCTTGCAAATATATATAACGTACAAGGGCCACCGTTTCAGGTGATCAGAAACAATCATATCAAACGACACTTGAAAGTAGGGGGCTGGTCAATTCACTAACATGACCCGACCTTGGTTATGAACCTATGCGTTATTTTACGCGCTGAGAAATGCAGCCATGTCAATCAGTATATCACACAGGTACATATCGGGTTTTAGAGTGAAATTGAAACACTACGTTGGCTCATTACCACGGGATGCTTCGATAATTTCGGGACGTCCATTTCCCAAATACTCTGATCACCAAAAACTGTCTGTCTAAAAGAACAAAATCCAAGCAGATTCAACTCCAGTCCAATTGACATGGCAACCCCCAACTCACACAGATCGATCAAATCTGTGATTGACTCCTAAGGGGAATATTCTATCAGGGTATCTCACACCGGAAAAGCAGGGTCATAAAACGCCGATTCAGCTTGAAGACAATCCCTCCTAACCAATCTATCGTGAGTGTTGGCCATCCCTAATAACCAGCAAACAGGAACTTTAGGAAAAAACCAATCACTGACCAAATCGGCTAGTCACAAGACATCTCAAAGATTGGTTTCCTACTGCCTTAAAACCCGATCGTTCTGATAATATACTAACGTGGCATGACGAAACTTTTGTGTCAAAAGCGAAACGTTGCCCAGCGAAAAACCCACCAACTAGTTACAAAACGATTACTACTCACTCGGTCCCAAACATTTTCCAGTTGACTGAAAAATACTTTGCTCAATATTTTGTCAAAGTGAGTTTGTTTTGCAACTTGGCCTGTCAGCTGCTAACCAGAAATGAAGATATTTTATGCACAAGGAAATGCTCGCGCAATCAAGGCTTAGTTACCAGTCAAGATGAGTCACTTTCAGCCAGCAAGGTCACAATGATATGGTGGGATAGTGCATCTCTGCAACACTTTAAACGTTCAGGTCTAACACCCTTTTTAGGCCTAGTTGGCATGCTGTCCGGAGGAAGTATGGGGGCTTTGGCATTGACAAGTTCTTCAAAACTAGAAGGCAGCAGTTGCGGTGATAATCTTGGATTTGAATGGCGGACTTACCCACTGACTAGTGAGTGGCGCAGAAAAATTCTGTTGTAGTGTTTCATCTTGGAGAAGAAACTGTGAAACGAACATGGTTTATAGAACCCGTTTCTTCAAGAATTGTGTCGGAAAATAAATGTTAGCGTAATGATCTTTTTGGCAAGGATGTCTTCACTTCCGAGGTCACTCATAAGGAGATTGCTGTGCCCACCAAACAAATGAATAGCTATCGGGAAATACGCTCGTTTGCAAATCAATTTGGTTTTCACGAAATACTCAACTGAATCTCTCGTTTGTGATATTCTACAGCTGAATGTGCTGCACGCAGGCCGCCTCATGCTTCAGTTGGCACGATATTCGAGATATCGCAGTATATTTTCATAAAGGAAACTACTCACAAGGTTGTCGAAAACAGTCCAATTTGGGTTCAAGTAGAACATTAGGCTGACGGAAACTCGGGGACTGCGCCTACCTGATGAGCCTCAAGAAGGGCGAAACAGGTCGTGGGCTGTCGAAGAGTTTTTAGCAACCTTGCGAGTAGTTTCCTTTATGAAAATGAATAGCTCCTTTTTATCGGAGGACACTGAAGCAAATGCACACCAAATAAAAATGGACAGCCATGATGACCACATTGAATAGCCTGATAAAAACCTTGACCGGATTGCTCTGAGGTCGTGATCTGCGACTTATTTTTCGAGACGAAGTTGACTATGATTTTGTCCATAATCACGGTGGTTGCATAACCTGTGCACAAGTCATCTGACTGACATACCTGTAGGAATGCACACAAACAACGGTAATTATTTGCCCCGTGCGTCAAATCCGAGCAGCGATGCGTCCAAACACTCCGATTAAGACAGTCATCAGGACCCTTGTGACAGGTAATTAGGAGCGAATGAATATGGATTAGGTGACTTGGCGAAATCCCGTGGCGCCTTGCGAAGTCACGACATTATTTGTACCATACGGCAACAAAATGAGTGCAGGATGGCGCCATTTTCTACGGAACTGGTCAGTGCATTTCATATTAGGTGTATTCGAATGCACGGTTGAACTACCAATTCAGGTACACACTTAATGCAGTGAGGCCAAGCTCCAGATTGTCCCCACGACTTCTACTTTACAGAGATCCATTAGCATAGGACTTGTGGTCATGGTAGGCATGTGTCGCAAATAAAGTGCATGCAGTTGAGCCTTGTTTCTCCCAGAGAATAAATCCGCAAGGAAACAGTCTAAATCACAAAGGAAATTACTCACGAGGTTTCTAAAAACTCTTCAACAGCCCACGGCCGTTTTCGCCCTTCTTGGGGCTCATCAGGTAGGTACTTATTCAGATGAAGTATATCATAAACGAGAGATCAGGTGAGTTCACCGTGAAAACCGCCTTGTAACCCAAACGTCTCGTGGCTTCATGCAATATGCGACAATAAGTGTGCAAAATAAATACGCAGCGAGTAATTCACTCTGGAAGTAGGGGAAAACCAAAGTGCAACTGTGAGCTTTTCAGCTAAATTTTGATCTTATTGACAGACATTGAGATGATAAAATACGATACTACTTGGGTAGCTCTGGGTTCTCATTATGATAGGTAGATTGTGTATAAGGAAATGCCCAATTTCAGCAGTAGGTGATTCCTGGAGACGTTGTGTGGATAAGTTGTTCGAGGAATCATTGTTGCAACTGGACAACTTCAACTGGTAAGGCGTAATTTAGAACTCACTGCTTTTCACGTGCGCTTTTGATCACTTGTGTGTGTTTACTTCCAGCGTCATCCGAATATAACACCTACAAGATAGAATTTAGGCGAACAGGTGCTACCGTACAACTTCGATTTGATCCAAAGTTTATGAGAGCCCAAATGTACATGCCTCACGCGGGCGAGAATAGAGTGATTCAGAATCAACTGCAACCTGCAAACAAACGCGAAACCCCATCGATTGGGTCGGACAAAGACAGCATTTCTCGTATACTACTACGCGTATGTACACTTCCTGCACCTAAATCCATGGACAGCAGTTCAAACGGAAACTGTGATGATCAGGTCAGCGTTTACGCGCAAACAAATGAACCACTGTTGGAGTCATCCTCTTCCGGAGAACCAGTAGATCCCCCAGTGTGCGTTGACCGTCTGCTTGAGCAACCGGAGAAAGGACTTGCAACCGTTCATCTGCTATCTACAGAAACATATCACCCATCACCTGCTGGCTCCCCGTGGTACTTTCAACAGCCACTCGGTCCAGGACAAGATGAAAGAATCAGATCAGGATCCGGCGATCCGGTTAGACGTTCCTTGTTGGTAGTCTCTCGAGGCCGGGACCATACTTTATCAGAATATCCCGACAGGCCTAAAAGTTATGAGATTGACTGGGCACAGGTCGCGCGCCTGACATATCAGTTCCGGTTTTATAATGCTTACGGTGGCCTCCTGAGAAGCACCGAATGGTTTTATGAAGATTCTGGTGAGTATAAGATCTTGCACCTCATACATCAGTAAGCTGACCTCTGAAGACAACACAAAACTGCTACGCCATACTTTTACCTCTATAGACCAGTTTTATCGAGTTGTAAGTTAAAACAACGTATCTGCCAAGTATCATAAAGATAAAACTCAGATTATGTCTTTCCTCACATTACCCCAAAAGACCATTGTTCTGTAAGTTGAAACACAAACTAATATACAGTATTTTGCACTTTGATCGATGTACATATACGAGACATTAAAAACTCAACAAGATCGTACTTTCTGAGGAACCCATTCCAGCATGGGGTCATCCTCCAGGTCACTATAAACTGGTTTTGTTCACGAATATTCGGATGCGAATTTCACACTTATTGTACAAGCTAAGTACAATAGTTATGGATATAAGCCATTATATGTTGTTAAGACACGTAGAAAATCTACTTTTTTGGCCAAAGAACAATTTTTGCAGGAATTCAAAGAAAAGGATTTTGAAAAATAGTTTGGAGCTCATTCCCATTGGTTTTGTCAACACCGGTTGGCTGACCGCAAGAAATTGTGCCAGGTTTCTTTGTCTGTCTACTATGGTAGGTAAGACAAGTGATAACAGTAATTAAAATTTGGTGTAGTAGAAAACAACTTATCCTGGCTAACCATCAAATGTTCTGAGCATTAGCTGTTGCCAACGTATTACACGGAGAGGATGATGTTCTGGTTAGTGGAATACAGCCTTCTAAGCGAATTAGACACCAGCTCCTGAAACGGCCAATTTTTGGCAGCTTTTCTTGGGAATTGAACTACTTTGCACGATTATGTGATGAAATATTACCACAGATGCGAAAGATTTAAATTTGGCCACACTTAGTCTATGGAACCAATGCTTTGTTTGGTACTCTGACAAAACCCACCGTCCTTTAACGAACAGTTTCATCCTGCGTGTAAGCTCATCATCATATCAAAGGATAGAACCATTTTATCGCAAAAACCTCTGCTTTAGAGTAACTCCCTGTCTGTGTCGAAATTAGACGATGATAACATTATAAAAATTTTCAATTTCAGCAGCTGTTTTACCATGTAAGTAGATGTGATTGATTTCTGGAAAGCCGCTGTACCATGGAAGTTTTTCACATCGTTCCAACGAAGTGTTGATTTGACGGATGTATACCATGTTAGGAGTGAACAATAACAGCTGTACTGTGCAATTCGTGCAGTGTGGTGAAATCACATTCGAATACTGAAGGCAGCAACTTTTTTCTGAAGATGGGATAGAGTTTTCCACTTTGATTTGAAAGAATATTCCAGTTTGTCCACTGTTTTGCTTAGTTGTGACCCGATAGCACGAGAGCAGTGTGGAAAACCATTTTGATGACCGTCATTCTCCGTCATATAGTTTACACCAGGCCAGTTGTAATCCATCTAGATTAACGTAACTACTGGAAAACGCGACAAGCAATGATGATGATTAATATATTGATGACGTCACCTCGACTGGTGATGAAAGGCTTGCAACCAAACTGCCCAGCTCAGTGAACAAGGGAACGGCCATGATGACGTCTGTTGTGTGATAATGAATACGACAGTAACTCAACACATACCTAGTTATCACGCATTCCACATCAAATTCTTCGGCTAGATTACTTGAAGTCAATGCTGAAACAGTGCACACTTCAGTAATGAGGTGTATTGGAACACTGGATCGGATGTGCTGAGGAACTGAACTGCTGGCAGTGGCTGTCCACTGATGAATCCGGATGAATGTTGTTGTACACTTTCATTGCGGTGTCTCATATTAGGAAGTAACTAAGCCATTAGGAAAATCAAAGTTTCTTCGTTTCTAGGTGTTTGAATTTTTGCGTTTATTGCAAAGTAAGATATCCAAGGCCTTCTTAAAGAAGATGCCTCCTTTGCTGTTTTCCTTCGTGAAAACAGCAGGGCCTGTTGCTTTGAATTTTGTGATGATTTCAGAAACTGCAACTTTGGGAACAGGATATCTTTGATGAGTTTGCCTTCAAAGTTCAAAATATTCGAAAGGGGCAGCCCGCGAAATGAATGGTGTAGTTTCTTGTGAGAAGCAATCATTTTATCACCACAATTTGAGTGCTAGTTTCAGACAGATTCCGGGCTTGAGTGCGTGTGGTCGTTTAACTCATTATGGACATACTATGACTGAACACGTTCGTCCGAGTTTGTCTGGACCCTATCACAATCTCACATAAACAAGTGTTTGGAATGAGAATAAGTGTAGAATACTGTCCGTTGACATATTTGCAGATTTATTACATAGTTTTTGGGTGGAATTTTTGGCGTGCAGCTAGTTGTCAATTCAACCTTGTTTCTCTGTTTTGAGATTAGTTACATGTGTGGTCATGGCCTAACTAGCAGTCATCAAAGTTTATATGAAGAATAATTTGTCCATCACGAGACCTGCCCTCAAATCCTTCGAATACCAGACGGAAACTCCTACTAATAAGAATGGTCGAGTTTATTTCCAGATGCTAAGTTGACACAACCAGACAGCCTGCATTAATCTGGCAACGAAAAACCGACATCAGATACCAAGGAGACTGCAACTTTGTCTCAGTCAATGTGCGCCAACCTCAGAATTTATAAGTGACGTGAAGTCCACTTGTATGTCATTTGAAAGTAGGAGTTTTGTGATCTACTGTCTTCAGTTAAAAGACAAAATCTGTTGAACTGTATTTTATGGTGAATTCTTGATTTTATCTTTCGCAAATTAATGATTTGCGAATTAATGATTTTGATCTCACACAGCTTCGCCAATGAAGTCTCAGTCTATGGAAAACGCGACCAGCAACAAGCCCTCTCTTGGTCTACTACTCTGGCTACTTCTAGTTGCTATGCTCCTGATTGCCGCATGTTCCATCAGTCTCCTTCTGATAATACACCGAAAACGTAGAAGAAAACGCGGTAAGTCACGATTTTTCTCTCTAGGATACTTTAGACACCACCTCTAAGAGGCATGTGATAATATATTTCTCCCTAACAGGTAATAAATTTCCGTGTAGCTCGTCGGAATGGCAAGATGTATAGTATGTTTCTATACCAACCACACCGACAAATTGTCCTCTCACAGCTGAAGTAAGCGATTGATCGATTTTGTTCTACACTTTATGGGCAATCCACTCGTGCTGCCCGTAGGCTAATTCAGACTTATGAACGATATTCATCAATTAGAACGTTCATGTGGTGCGTCACTCGGAACAAAACATTCTGTTTCCTAGTCGGACAGAATATTCCTGGGTTGAATCCGCAGGCAACTGTTAACCTGTCCACTTCTGACACAGGTAAGCCGATGGCTTTTATCCCATTTTTCTGATTGAGGTGCTTGTTCTAGAGAATTAGTACAAATGGCAAAAGCGCCAATGATGTCTTTGGTACTATAATCTGTTTCCAACTAACGGTGGGCTAAACGGAACATTTCTGCTTATGTTCGGATAAGTGTCTTGGTTACATGTCCACCTAGTATCATGTCGATACGACACATCCGTAGGATATCACAGAATCCGCGCAACGACCGTGCTAGACAACATTCGTTAACAGAGAACTTTGTAAGCAGCCGTTTAGATCAGTTTCTTGTAAAATACGATTGCAATTATCCGGTTGCAAGAAACAATGTGGTTTTATCCTCGAATCACATATTGTGACATGTTTTCCCAAGTGAACGGTCAAACCTAGAGTCTCCAAGAACGCTCCTGTTGCAAATGAACGCAAAAGTAGCCATCTTGAACTGGTTATTTCTGCGGTTGCATGTGAGTATTATCATGTACTGTATCCGTCGCTGAAATCACGGGTTAGCAAGCGAGCTGATGACGTTTACGGCTAACAACTCGTCACTGTCGTCGATGATTACATCTGATAACATTGGCCAACATGCTGCTACAGCGCAGAAAATAGCCCAGCATTTAACAGCCTGAAAGAGGAATTAGGTGAGCAGATCCAATGATTCGGTCGCAACGATAGACCGACAGCTTAGGACAAATTTTGTCGGCGGTTTGCTTTTTCTGATGATGAAAACGATGAGAAAAGAATCATCATCGTCATCATCATCATCATCAAAGACAGCAACATCAGTGTTGCCACTGATGCTGCACTGGCGTACAACCTCCAACCGCTCAATCAGACAATCTGGAAAGAAACTGACAGCACGAACTCCACTGACATTGATTAGCCGCCATTTCTTGCAACGTCTCCAGCCAAGCACAGACGGGGTCACGGGGACCCCATCCTTGAAGGCGCACAACACCAACAACACCCAAACCCTTCGTGATCTCTTTCACGCCTTTTTGCCAAGTCATGTGCTATCCACCTCGCGGTTTGCGCCATCCTGAAGGAGGCACGGAGAACAACACTCGTCTCGCTAGACGGTGTTTCGGCATGCGTAGCGCATGACCGAGCCATCGTTGTCGATGGTGCTGGATGTTTTCCCGGATTGAGGTGCCTGCAGCACAACCAAATACCAGTTTTCTAATCGCCTCGTTACTGATACGCTGACGTCATCCGAAACCAGCAACGCTTCTGAGGCATCGGTGGTCGAAAACCTGAAGAGGTCTCACATCATCTACCCATACAACAACACAGCCCTTACTGTAGCCTGGTACACACGACCCTTAAGATCAAGTGAGACGCCTTTTTGACGCCACAAGTGACGCAAATTAGCAAACGTGATTTGAGCTTTTGAGATTCTTGCACTGACTTCATCAGACACACTTCCGTCAGAGCTAATACAACTACCGAGGTACGTAAAGTTTTCCACAATCTCCAGTGGTTCTCCTTGAATTGTAAGGGATATGTTCGCAGATGGCACGTTCTGAAGCAGGACTTTGCACTTTGAAGGTTCAAGGCGCATGCCAAATGATGGTATGATGGCGGTCAGTTTATTCAACAGGGCTTGTGCTTCACTATGGTCTTCAAAGATGAGGACGATGTCATCTGCGTACTCCAGATCGAAAAGGCTCTCGCCAGCAACAGTTTGAACAGCGGGGTTTTGAAAACCATCCAGTGTTTGCCTCATTATTTCATCGATGACGAAGTTGAACAAAAATGGGGAGAGTGGACATCCTTGTCTGACACCACTTTTTGTAGGAAAGCCTTTGGAGAGCTCACCATACACCCTCACCTGCCCAGAAGTATGTGAATATAGAGATCGGATTATGTTTACAAACTTCTGGGGCATACCCTGTTGAGCAAGTGTAGTTAACAGAACTGATCGATCAACAGAATCGAACGCACCCTTGAAGTCAAGGAATACCAGGATTGTGGGCCGTCTGTACATGTGGCGTTGCTCTAACACCTGACGGAGTGTGAAGATGTGGTCAACGCAGCCTCTACCTGGTCGAAATCCCGCTTGGTTCTCACGAGTCAAGACTTCGCGTGCCGCCATGAGACGACGAAGAACCAATGACGCCAGAAGCCTTGTCACAACAGGCGTCAAGCTAACACCTCTGTGGTCGCTACATTCACTGCGAGTACCCTTTTTGAAAATGGCTACCACTATCGATTCACCCCAGTTGTCTGGGATGGTCTCCTCCCAGATAAACCCAAATAGGCTAGACATGTACTGGCTGAGAAATCCACCGCCATCCTTGAGAAAAGAATAGTCTAATGTCTATTAAAAATGTTAGAGTGATAAATTTCCATGCTTTTGCACATCAGAATCATCGACGGCGATAAGGGAAGTGTCATAAATTACTAACTATGTGCTAGGGAGGAATTTTAATAAGAACAGATTGAAATTGTCAGGGAAATGAACGGTTCCCAAACAGGTGGGAGTATCAGTTGATCATTTTTACAAAGAACTAACTAATCGACTAAAAAAGGGGTATATGATTGCGCGGAAGTCCCAAGAATCAGTCAATTTAAACCAACCAGTCCCCAAAAGCACGATAAACACACGAGAAACATGTGATAGTTGAAGTTGACTGCATTATAAACCGAGTTAAGCCGAGTTAGACCGAGTTGCTCACAGACCTTAGTTGGTAGCAGTACCTATTCCGGTTAAACTCAGTGAGAATCAGGACAGTAAATTCTAGATAAGTCACAGTAAGGTGCTTTATACGTCTTAAAGAAACAGGTTGGAGCTCTCCTAATCTAACAATATCATGTTCTTCCGAGACGAACGATCCCTGCATCAACATTAATTAACTGACGAGGCCGTCTCTACCTCTGCCTGAATGTACCTCACTTCATCCCCAATTTTCGATTAAATGTAACAGTTGAAATTGACGTATTGCACATAATAACTTAACTGAGTTGGACATTTTAAAAGAACCATTGTCCAATAGTGACGATATTTACGAACATTTTGCAGTCAACACAAACCCCACTTCTCCAAATTCCTCAGTTACCATTGTTTAGACAACTAAAACGGTCACAAGCATCACACGGTCACTTTATTGTAAAACTGAACGTTATTTCAACAAGACCATGACTTTTGGAGCGAACTAAACAACCGCTCTTGAGTTAGTGGGTTTGTGCGGGCACTGTAGCCCAGTCAGCTGTTTTGGTAGTGTTAGTGAAGTTCTGGGCTTTTTTCTTACTGATTGCTACTGGAAACCAATTCCTAAACTAGTGCGTAGTATAAAAGCTCCAGATTCTATAGAGGAAAATGTTGGTAGCTCAGGTAGCGTAGATGGTGCTCGTTGGCTTGTTCGCTGAGCTGGGCAATTTGACTGCAAACGTTTCATCACCAATTGAGGTGATATCATCAGTGCGCTATTGTGGAGCGTAGGAGTAGCGCGCGCGTGCGTAGAGAGTGCGCTACGCACTCCTACTCTCCACAATAACGCACTGATGATATCACCTCAATTGGTGATGAAACGTTTGCAGTCAAATTGCCCAGCTCAGCGAACAAGCCAACGACCACCGGCTCCAGATTCATTACTGGCGGGATAACTTGTCGAAGTAGACTAGGATATCACATGCCTCACTACGTGGTTTATCTTACGTTTGTTCGGTTAAGCTTTGTTCTGTTTGTCACCAAACTGCTATCATGTTCCCATTGGATAAAAGATGGTGTTAGGTATATTTTCTCTAGATAGACACCAAACCTATTGTGTAAATGAAAACTGATTGTAAATTCGATTATAACGTTCAGTGATGTACAGTATGTAGTAAGTGATATTCCTTTGGATTCCAAGCGTAACTACACTCAGGTAGTAGGGGCTGCCTAGAAAATTTCGGATCTCTAGCTAAGTTTTTTTTATCCATATCTGGCAACGAATTTTCGGTTTTATCCGGTGCCTAAAACAATCCGCACGTTTTTATTCACTTAATAAAGTCTAAACTGTACACGACCCCAGATGATACAACAATCACTCTATTCTCTCCGTTACGAAGGTCACCAGCGTGAGTACCGTCGCTGGTCGGCACTGAATGGCTTAGTTTCAAGTGGACCATACTGAACAAAACTCTACTGAAACCGTCAGCACGTAGTCACATGAAGTGAATGATGCGGTTGGAAGATGAACAGCGCTGCATCCTATGTGTGAGCTAGTCACGCCACCGACAAGCCGCTTGTAAAGGAACAGGTTAGATTTCAGCTATTGGTTGGGAGTTCATGAGTTCGGATCTCCATCGCTGATGATCCCCAGCAATGATGCGGTAGTTTTACAGTTCACCTCATCATTTCAACTTACTTGGAAATTTCTATTGGAAATTCAAAACATCATGCTATGAACCTCTCCTCTGCCGACATGGAGTACTCAGAATGAGAGTGTAGCCAACACCCAAATCTCATATCAGAAGTAGCGCGCATAAATTATACTGACCATCGGTCTAAGAAAGCATGTACTCACAAAAAATGAACTGTGTGGACTGGTTGATGCAAGTGCAGTGTGTCACGTGTCTCATCACTCTCCTTAAGCTAAGGATAGGCATACATTGTTCCAGAGTTGCATGGACTGGGAATT